TTCAGTCGTAGATTTAACTTTTACAACTCCAGATATAGCAATTAATTGTGCATACGAAACTTTACCTGATGTACTGGGTTCAGACCATTTTCCAATTATTATAGAAATTACCAAAGGCATGGAAAGTAAAGACATCATAATACACCCAAAAACAAAATAGAATTTGAATAAAGCAGATTGGACTCTATATCAAGAAGTTGCGAATAACTATTTCTCACAACACATTAAAAATAGTAATAACGCGGAACATAGTTATAGCTTATTAACTGAAGGGATAAATAAGGCAGCCAATGCCTCTATACCCATTTACCAACCCTTTAAACCGAACAAAAAAACTCTTCTTCCACCATGGTGGGATCAAAGCTGCAAAGAGTCTATTAAAAAAAGAACAAATGCTCAACACGTATAAGCAACAAAGCACTATGGAAAATGATGTCAAATACAAAAACGAAATTTCAAAACCAAAAAAGTTTTTAAAAATTAAAGCTAAACTACATTGGCAGCTCTGGTGCGAAAACTTAAATAGAAATACACCATTGACAAGCATATGGACTCATGCCAAAAAAATGAATAGAATATATAGGAAAGGTAATACATCGGATAATTATGAATGGCAAGAATAATTTTTAGATAAAATTACACCAGCTAATGCTACGGATAATACTTCACATATTTAAAAAAAAAAGACAAAATAACACCAAATATAAAATTTTTAGTCAACCAATTAGCTTACCAAAATTAAAGTATATCATGAAAAATAGAAAGAATACATCACCTGGATTGACATTAGATATCCTATGATATTCCAATTACCAAACAATGCCAAGATGTTTCTAATCAAAATTCTAAATTACATGTGGATCAATGGGAAAAGTATAGAAGAATGGAAAAAGGCTATTGTAATACTAATACACAAACCAAACAAAGACCCCCACCTATGTGACTCATATAGACCTATTGCACATATGCCCTGTATACTCAAGGTTTTCGAAAGAATAATTAAAAACCAATTGGAATGGTGGTTAAATGCAACCGGCGCTCTGCCAACTACACAATATGGTTTTAAAAATGTTTTGACACCATAGATACGGTGACACACTTAGTTACAGACATACAAATAGGCTTAATTAAAAACGAGTATAATGGAACGATGTTTCTAGATGTTAAAGGTACCTACGACAATGTCAACTGGTTCATCTTACAGGAAAAAATGATGCAATTACAAATCCCTCAAGAAGTTGCCAACACGATATGCAAATTATAAACAGGCAAGTAGGGCTCAGAGGATATTATAGGTGCCTAGTAAAATACGAAACTGCAAATTATATATATATATATATATATATATATATATATATATATATATATATATATATATATATATATATATATATAGTGAAAAGGAGATAATACTGGGAAGTACCCTTTTATAACTGAGGAAGCAAAATAAAACTAGGGTGCTTCGTTCGATGTGCTTTTAATTAAAGGTCTAAGCTTTCGTCAATGATTATTGACATCATCAGAGTAAACTACAAACAAACGAGAGAACAAACAATGAACAAGTGGAACCTAAGTATATAAATTTATAAAACAGGGGTAAGTGTTTTATAAATTTATATACTTAGGTTCCACTTGTTCATTGTTTGTTCTCTCGTTTGTTTGTAGTTTACTCTGATGATGTCAATAATCATTGACGAAAGCTTAGACCTTTAATTAAAAGCACATCGAACGAAGCACCCTAGTTTTATTTTGCTTCCTCAGTTATAAAAGGGTACTTCCCAGTATTATCTCCTTTTCACTACATAGTACTCGTACCCGTTATCATCCTTTTGGTTATATAGATCAATAAAATGGGAACTTTCTATGACTATATATATATATATATATATATATATATATATATATATATATATATATATATATATATATATAAAACTGTTTTTGATGGGTTGGAGTCAATAAAAGGGGCTATTTGTTGACTATTTTTTTACTCGAGCTTTCAATTGTGATTAAAATTTTTATCAAGAGCTTCTAAAAAATACAAAATATCTTACAAAGTTGAACTAGAAATAAAAAATTTTTTGTTAACTCACCAAATAAAATTAGTTTTTTATATAAAACTACTGCTTACATATTAATTACTATCATATTATTACTAGTTTTATATAAAAAAATTTTTTATTTCTAGTTCAACTTTGTAAGATATTTTGTATTTTTTGGAAGCTCTTGTTAAAAATTGTAATCACAATTGAAAGCTCGAGTAAAAAATAGTCAACAAATAGCCCCTTTTATTGACTCCAACCCATCAAAAACAGTTTTATATTTTTTCCAAACGAGTCACAAGTACTTCTTTTTTCATATATATATATATATATATATATATATATATATATATATATATATATATATATACTATGTACTACTAATTTACACACCCCATATCTAAAGCAACTATTATACAATATGCCGATGATTTTGTTGTTTATACACGTAGCAAACATCTCGACGAATGCTTTAATCGTTTAAATTCAATCACAAAACTCGTTTTAAGATCCATAAGTGATTTAGGGCTTCAAATCTTCGTAGAAAAATCTAAAGTTATAATCTTCACCAGGCATAACATGAAACCGATGCAGAAAATTACAATAGACGGTATAAATGCAATAAAGAGCTAAACTTCTTAAAATCCATTATGCGAACTTGGTGGGGTGCAGAACCTCAAACAGCTCTACTCTTCTATAAAGCTTACATAAGATCAATAATTGATTAGGGTTGTACACTTTATGGAACAGCCAATAAAACAAATCTACGTAAGCTGGATATTATACAAAACAAATCACTCAGAATATGTCTGGGAGCAATGAAATCTACACCAGTTGAACCGTTAAGAGCTGAAGCAATCGGACCTCGATTAGAACTGAGAAGATCATTTTTAGCTAACAAAATGATTATTAAGTCACTAAAAATTAACCAATATTCATGAGCAGCATGTTTAAATTAAGCGAATACGAGCTAACTAAGCCTTTTTGGATTCATAAACACTCTCCTCCTATTTGTGATGAATTAAGAAACGTGACCTTAAAACCACAAAAAAAGGTAGAGACCTACTACTTTGATCACTTTGTTTCCTGTGATGTGAACTCCTTTATTCGGAGTTAGCATCATTTAATAGTATGGTCATAAATCAAATTTTAGAGGAACATCCAAACTACGTCACTATATACACTGATGGATCAAAAACACCGATGGTACAGGTTGCGCTTTCATAATAACTAAACGTATACAAAAAAAATATAAGTTAAACAAAAACACATCTATTTTCACAACTGAGGCAATAGCAATTCTAAAAGCACTAGAATATGTTCATCAGGAAGAGGATCAGAATGCTATAATCTTTTCCGATTCACTTTCTGTTCTTAAAATTTTAAACTCAAACACAACTAATGACATTATTTTTAGCATCCAAGCAATACTTAAACAATTTCAAGATTAAAATAAATACATAAAATTTTTCTGGGTCAAAGCACATGCAGGAACAATGAAATTGCAGATCAAATTGCCAAAGAAAGCATAGTAATGGGGGAACAAATAAATTACGAATTAACTACAGACGAACAAATAATCATAGCAAAACAGGGAATGATGAAGAAATGGTCCAATTTATGGCAAGAGTACAGCTTTACAACTCCAACACGTTACACCAGACTTGAAATCAAACGTACAATGAGTATGATTAGTTACTGTCGAAAAAGTATAACTACTATCAGCAGAATGAAGTTTGATCACGCATGTTATCCAGCACAATTATTTAAAATAAATATACTTAAGAGTAATCATTGTGAAGCCTGTAATAAAATCGGTGACCTGGACCACATCTTTTTTGATTGTTTAAAATATAGAGCTCAATCTAATGAGCTTTTCAGAAAACTTAAAATTAAACATTTGTTAATAAATAGTGTAAGTTTTGAGAATTTCACGTTTTTGTTATAAAGTTTAAAACAATAGCGATACACAAATATATTTTTAAATTGTCTTTGCTCTTCTAAAGCTTGTAGTGGACTGTGTCTTTTCTCGGTGAGTGGGGGAGCAACCCGCACCCCTCGTCCCATCGTCTGGAATTCGGAACAGGTCCGGTTTGACACTAACACATTGAAAGCCATCTTTTTGCTTTAGACAGAAAAGAAATTTATAATTGTTTGCTATCTTTCGTCAGAAGAACGAAGATACAAATATAACCACCTTTGTTAATACCTAATGTCTTTCCTTAATGTTTATATACGTATCTGTCCGAGGCCTACTTTTTATCGTTTATAAAAATGCCCTGATCGGCCCCTGGGCGAGAAGAGTGTAATCCCTGTGTAATCCTTGTATCTGTTTTTAAAAATTTGTTTCTGGCTGTGTGGGTATTTACCCTAAAGCCAATAAAAAAAAAATTTTTTTTAATTAAAAAAAAGATACACAGAACAAAAAATGAATAAAGGCAGTAAAGCGGTTCGAGCTTGTTGTCGGAAATGATATAAAAAAAAATGAAATAGCACAAAAAACGGTTACGCAGTCATCACTGACGTATAGGAAATAAACATAATAGCAAATAAATCAAACTTGCAAATAATATTTATTTGTGACCTAATCTATTTGTCTTAAAAGCAATGTATTGATGGGTCCCTAGACGAGAAACGAGTGTCCATGTTTTATCTCTATCCTATCCTTAATAATAATTTTAATGCTTAAAATTTGTAATGCTCCTTAAGTTTGAAATTTATCTTATCTTTTTATATTGTACTACACAATCTTCTTTCTGGGTAGAATATTTTCATGTTGTGACTGGCTGTATGGCACTTGCCTATGCCATTTAAACAAAAAAATATATTTATTTAAAACGCAATTAAGAGAAAAGCAACTTGAATGTCAAAGAATGAGTGAATGAAAGAAATTAGTTTTACATAATTTTGAAAATGAAGGTTTACATAATAATGAGGGTTTAAAAATAAGTAACTTACCATTTTATCTATGATGTAACACGTCGGTAGCATAGTAAATGGCCATACGAAAGCAAAAACGACCGAAGTCCAATTAGACTCACTGGTACTAATATGATAGTACTTGGTGACAATATTACTAATGATTGAATATTCGACCCAATGGAAGGTACTTAGAATTCCGGTCACAATGTACATCAATAGTATCAGCCATCTTTTCAAATAAACCTTTATTATAGGTTCATATGTTGGAATCAAAATTTTTTCGGCTGTTTTAGTGGCCATTTCAGGTTTGTTAATGTTGCTGCTGGTCCCAGAATTTGATATATGTGATGGTGTCTATATAGTTTATTATATTTAAACTGATAACGATGTTTAATAGAGATTTAGTTGAAAGAGTAATTTTGTTGAAATTTTAGTATATTTGATTGCTGATTCATAATAACATATAAAATTATAAAACTTTTTTGTGGTCAGGTTATTAAAATGAATCATTTGTTCATTTTTGCATTTTTATTAGACACTTAGACATCTTAGACACTTCTAATAAAAAAATAAGGGGTCTGGATACAATTGATTGACGTCAGCCTAAAAAAAGACAAAGTAGAACTGACTCATCAGCGACAAGTAAACACTGCCGCAGACAAACGGCCAATTAGAAATATCTCGAGAACTAAAGGTAACTGAATAATGAAAATTTGAATGAAGAGGTTTTGAAAAGTGAACTGTTAATTAAAAATATTTCTATCATACGGTGTTATACCGGAAGTTGCTTATAATTCCCTTTTTTTTAATAGGGCTCCCTATTGTATATTGGTATACCACTATTGCATATTGTTTAATTTTAAAAATACTCACATTATTCTGAACATTTTTTGTTAATACTTCCCTATACCTATTGTGAATCGTTTTTAGTTTTAATGGTTTTTATATGAAAATTATACTTTTCTACCATGTATATAAAGTTCAATATTCTCTAATGTAATTTGAATAAAAGTTTAAATTCCTTAGGAACTTATCGTTTACAGTGTAAAGTTGCTTTTCCATTATACAGTGGTGAGTGCGATATCATCCGGCTTTTTAACGTAAGAGATAGAAAACACAGTTACCTTGTGAAATAAAAGGAGATGAAACTCGTAGAGGTGGGAAATAATCGATAGAAACCTATAATTTACATTACATTGCATTACCACCATCGACAGTCTCACACCTTTAGACGTTAGACGTGGCTATTTGACTTCAGTCATAATTATACCGATACCCTCAAAAATATTTTATTTTAATAATTTCTGATGTTAGTATAAATACTTGAATAAATTAAGATATGTTATAGTAAAAAACATTCATTAGTAGCGATTTTAAATTATAAATCTTTAAATTTACTTAATAGTAAAAATAACTCAACTGAAATATTTGACTAAAATAAAAATAGGTATGTTTTGTCTGGAAACACTTAATGTATGTGAAATTGGTGTAGTGGTTAGGGACGTTGTCTATTGACGAGAAAATTGGGGTTCAATTCCACACCAAGGATAAAATTTTTGTTTTATCAATAAAAAAATAATAGAAAATATGATACATATTAGGTAACAAATTTTCGAAAAACTCATTATTTACAATTTATTTTTATTCCAATGTTATAAAACGGAAATACAAAATGATTCAAATTCAATTCATACAGTCTTCAGTTGTGAATGCAAAATAATCCGGTGAAGACTGTTTATATCAAATCCATCACTAAATTCTCAATGTTAATATCAATTCCTCTGTACAGATAATGATTTTCAAAACAATTGACAACATTGGAATGGATGCGCGCGAAGCAAAGCCTTTAAGCATCAAATAATAACATATCGAGAAGTGTTTTTGCACGGTAAACAGAAACTTTTTATTGAAAAAACAATTCGTGAAAATGGTTTTAACGGTCGAGGAAAAAGTGCAAATTGTTGTCTGGCATGTGAATGGATTCTCAGACAACATGATTAGACAACAATTTGTAAATATGTTTCCAAATAGGCCGGCTCCATCTCGATCAACAATTCAATCTATTATACGTAATTTTTTTACTTATGGATCCGTGTTCGCTCCAAGAGGAGTTCGTAGGCGAAGGGAGGTAAATCCAGATTTGGAACTAAGAGACACTTTGATTTGTGCAAGTATTGAGCAAAATCCTACCCAACCAACATCTCGTCTCGGAGAACATATGGAATTTCAAGATTTAGAGTTGGTAAAATTTTGAAAAGGCATGGATACCGACCCTATAAACTTCATAAATCCAACGAACAATTCCCTGGGGATCAATATAGACGTTTAGAATTTTGTCAAACTGCAATGGAAATGTCACATCAAGATGAACATTTTTTAGAGAACGTCTTGTTCACCGATGAATGTACGTTTTCATTGCATGGCCGTCACAATTCAATGAATGCTCGGTATTGGTCCCGAGGAAATCCTCGTCAGATTTATGTTGCTCGTACCAGCGTCCTCAAAAAGTAAATGTTTGGGGAGGCATAATAGGGAATCATGTCATTGGTCCATTTTTTATAGACGGTATGTTGACTGGGCGGAAATACTTGGAACTTCTGCAAAATCAAATTGTCCCAGCCCTTCGTAATTTACCAATTCCTTTCGATTCCATATGGTTTCAACACGATGGTTGTCCTGCACATAATTCTCGCATCGTCAGTGAATATCTCAGTGCGACTTTTCCTAATCGATTGATTAGTGGACACGGAGATATTTTTTGGCCTGTAAGATCACCTGATCTTGCACCTTGTGATTTTTTTTATGTGGGGATATATCAAGTCCAAACTATATGGAATTGATAGGCCTAATTCTCTCCAAAAATTAAGAGAAAAGATCTTTGATAAAATTTTCATGTTTTAGTATAAACACTTCTAATAAAGACTGAAATAAATGTTTTATGATTTAAAGCAAAACGATATAATACCTGCATAATTTCAAATTTTTAAAAAAGTAAAAACTTTTTGTAGGATTTGAACCCTAATCGCCTGCATGAGTACATCGTGCCTTCAGCCCTGATCTATCAGACTTTTATAATTCTTTAGTGACAGTTTGGGTTATTATTGTGCAGCTAATGAAGGTTTATTTGAACATATTGTAAATACGTTTATTTACAATATTTTTTTATTTTTGTAAAATTTTTACTTATTTAAACATTCTTTTAATTTTGAAGAATTTTACTTTAGTTTCGAAAGTACGACGACACTATTTTTTCAATAAGATATTTATGTTTAACTTTAAACACTTCAAATACTAGTAACGACTGACATAAATGTTTAGTGATTCAAAGCAAAACGATCTCCGCAAAATTTCAAATTATTAAAAAAAGAAAAAAAAAACCTCATGTAGGTTTTGAACTCTAATCATCTGCGTAGCAGAGTCGAATTCTTACCACTAATCCACGAAGGATTGCTAATTATTCTGTGACAAGAGGGTATGAAACTCCTCAAATCATAGTAGAAATTATTCTTGGTTAATAATTTAAAACTTTAGAATAAATAATCACTATTAATTAAATTATTTTATTCACATTTTTGCTTTATTGTGGTCAATCAGTTTTTACTTTATCTAAATAAAAAAATAGAAATACGTCACACATACGACGTCAAACTGTCAAACATAATAATTATGACCGAGGTGATTTAGATCGAAGGTAACGTCTAAAGGTGTGAGACTATCGATAGTCGTAATGTAATGTAATGTAAATTATAGGTTTCTATCGATTATTTCCCACCTCTACGAGTTTCATCTCCTTTTATTTCACAAGGTAACTGTGTTTTCTATCTCTTACGTTAAAAAGCCGGCTGATATCGCACTCACCACTGTATATGGAGAATCCATTTAATGGATTCTCCTGTATATGATTGATTAGTTTGGAAGAATATGTTTTTCACTAACGATCTGAATTAGTATTTCCTATCTGTATATATATATATATATATATATATATATATATATATATATATATATATATATATATATATATCTTCCTGTTTTCTACATTTTTGTCACAAACAATTAATTTTTTTATAGACTATGTTGTGTTAATTTACAACTTTTATATTGTAAAATAAGCATTGAACGATTAAAAAGTTACCCATCAACATCCAATCATTTATGAACTCTTTTAATCAGATTTTGATTAGTAGCTCTTAACATGGGACCGCCCCTGGGGTCCACATTGGCACGCTATATTTTCAAGCCTCTCACATCTTCTTAGGAAGTAATCATCTTCTTAGGAAGTTTTTGTTAGTATTGAAATTATTTCAGTAGAGTGAACGTGTACGTTTTATTTTAATTGTTAAAATGGATGACCTTATCGTTCAAGCCCTAAAGGATATTTTGAGGTAGGCTCTGAGTTATTACTTTAATTTTGTTTTATTACGTTACTAACAGCTGAAAGTTTATAAGAATATATAGTTTGATGAATTTATGTTTGTGCAAGTTGCATTTATTTGAAACTTTTCCATGCCGTACCCGTATGGACCCAATGGGCACCTAAACTTTTTTTGTTTCAGTCCTGGATTTTTGCTACAGGAACCAATAGAGCTTATTAAAAAAAAGATGATAATATAGCCCTAAAAAAAATCTTTATCGAGCCTCCACCAAGTAATGTACTTACTGATGAAGAATCTGGAGACGAGGATGAAGGCGGAACTTTTCTACACTTACCTGGCAAGCAACTTTTAGCACCTGCAGAGCTCGTTTTTACTAACGGTCGCATTGGTGGTAATTCAGATGATGCTATTCAAGAACTTTCAACCATTTCTTCATGTGTTTCTCCTCATCAGTTTACACCAGGCCCCAGTAGCTCTTCAGTTACAAACGACAATACTAATAATTATTTAGAAAACTTTGTCCAACGAAATGTAAATCAAATTCCAGAATTTATTGGTTCTTGGTTGGACTATCAAAGAGATAATGTACAAAACGTAAAATATATTGAAGGTGATATATTGAAATATGTAAAAGAAGATTTTTCTACATCGAGTTTTAAACTTTTTAAAAATAAAACCCTATCGAAGTGTTTGAAAGGTTTTTACCAACGAAATTATTTAACACTTGACTCAGGAAACTACTAAATCTTCAGCTTTTAAAAATCAAGAGAATCTATATATTACATATGATGAAATAAAATGCAGGAATCCTTATTTTAAGTGGTTACAATTTAGTCCGATCTTAACGTCACTATTGGGAGAATTCTGTTCCTGTTCATCATGAAGTTCATTCACTGTTCCGACAACACTAAACTGGATATGACCGACAAGTTTGCGGAAATTAGAC